AACCGGTCGAAGAGACGGGCAAATCACGTATTTCTATTTGTTTACTAATAAAAAAAGTCTAAACATGTTGAGCAGTTTTCGGAGTACGCTGATGGTTGCTTGCCTTCATCTTTGATTTGTCTTCATGTTTCGATGCTTCTGCCAATCATTAATTTCCGTAATATATATAAATATATTCATTGTAAAAGAAATATAAATCACTATAAAGTATAAATCTAAATCCCACTATATATATACATATATATATATATATATAATTCAATTTCTTTTCATGCATTAAAGTAACTTGCATCCTACTTCAAAGAAGAAAGTGTGCATACAATTTCTTAGGATAGAGCATAAAAATATTTGTAGAATATTTACAGAGAGCATAAGGAATTAATGAGACCCCAGTAAAGTATCAAATATTGGACGTGTTTGTGATATGTTTATATCTTTGTACTTTATCCTTTTCTTTATCAAAGTAGAACTTTTTTCTATAATATATATTTTTTTTAAAACAAAATAACACATGTTATAGTATGTGTTGTTCGATTAATAAGAAATAAAGATTACAAGTGGGATTAAAACACACGTATAACATATGTCATTCTATGGATTATTTATAAGTTGGTTGAGCATTTTCGTAATTTTTTTTAGGCCTCATTCGCTTTGCGGATTCTAGTTTTTAATTCGAACTGAGATGTGACATTTTCTGATAGCTTTTAAATGTAGCAAAAAAAGTTAGATGTGACATTTTTTAAGAGCTTTTAACTATATAAACCTAAAATTAAAAACTCAAATCGTTGAAATGAACAAAGCCTAGTGGTCAATTACAGGTAATACATCTGCATTTTTCATCTGACTACCAAAGATCGTAGTAAAATATGGTTGATCTCCGACCTGTAGTGGTTGGTTGCGGGGATTTTTTGTGTCATAGAAAAATTTGATTGCATGCTAGCGATAGCTGGTTGTCAAAATTTTTGGCATATACTTTTTAAGTATTATGATAGGATATCGTTAGTCTATAGTATGATAATTTTTGGGGTATATTTAGTATTATCTAGATATTTGGCTATGACATGGTATGAAATTTTCTGTTTTTCTCATAGCATATATAAGTCGATCCATGACATGAATTGTTGGCATTTTTCTACACATATATCTCCTTGAATTCATATCATAGACGATAACATTCTCTTTCACCCAAAAAAAAAAAAAAGTGACAATATTAATTAAAAAGAATCTCAATTTTACATTTGAGAGTATATATCAGTCTGTATATATGACCTAATTTATTAATTTTTACCGACATATATGTGTACGAGCCGATGCATAACCACTTGAAAAGTTAACAAGGTGAATTTACCCTTATTTACATACATCTACAAGTACAACTAGGAATTTATAATGGTTTTTTTTTTTTTTTTTTTGGTGAAAGGGAAAATTCATTGTCTTCAGACTTTTTTTTCCCCCTTGAAAAGGAATTTATAGTCTTCAGACTTTCAGCCACGTTATCTAAAATCAGTGATAAATTCAGTGATTGGTGAGAGAAAATTCTTCCAAATCTAAGACACCATTAACGTAAGAAATCTAATTAGTACATTTAATTAGGTAGCTAGTTAATGAGAAGTGGGAGGGTCAGCAGGTTTGTTACATCATTAATTAGCTGCTAGCACAATAATCAAGCATATAAATAACATCTCTCTCTCTCTATATATATATTAATATCATGTGATAAACTAATCAACTCTTTAGAGTCTTTAGGGGACAAAATTTTGAGTTCATCTTTCAAGTATGTGTATATACACATGTATATGCATTATCATTATAATGATTATTATAGGGAAAGAAAATTATCATTAATATAAGTACCTTAGTGTAATATAGATTCTATTAATTTTTTTAAAATTTTTTTGAGGGTATTTTTAAATATATTTTTTTGACTTGCTAAGCCTAAAAGTTGATATATTAGATTGTCATAATCTAGGGCCCCTCAAGGCTCTAGTGGGCATTCACCAAAGTACTTGCTGAAATGAGTACTTTCTAGTTGTCATCACATGTGCTGACAAAGCCATTCATACAATACTTTCACTAAAGTTGCCACTCCCTCCCTCACAATGCCGTGATAGAAATTAGAAAGAAAGAGGAAAAATTAAGAAATTACAATGTGTTCATGAAAAAAAACAAGGAAGAAAGAAATAAAGTAAAGAAAAGAAAGGAAGAAAGAAAGAAAGTAAAGAAAAGAAAAAAGACATTCTTAACGTTAACAAAACAATACCACGAAGATTAATTGCGCGGAGCTACCATACACAACTAGCATAATTCTAACGAAAACCAATGCTATTCTCTATTGAATTGAAAAAAGGAATCCGAAGATATGAGAGAGAGAGATAGAGAGAGAGAGAGAGAGCACGTTAATTCATAATGAGGGAGCGTTTTGACAGCCAAAGGCTAAACCACTATAAAGCACTCTTCACAATCAAAATCACACACACTTTTTTCATATTAAAAAAAGAAACTTGTTTTATTAAAATAATGTGTCTTACTTTATATTTATATAGAAATGTTGTACTTATTTTTTCATTTTTTAAATCGTATTAGAGGAACTTCAACCATACTAATTATTTTATATTTTTAATTAAAATAACTATAAATTTTTTTTTTTTTTTAGTTTTTCTCCACTCGAATTATTAACTAAATAGTTAGCTATTTTATGCTCTGTTCATTTCGCCGATTCGAGTTTAGAATTTGAGTTTTGCTATAGTAAAAAGCTCTCATAAACAGTCACATCTAACTTTTTTGCTACAATAAAAAGCTCTCACACAAAATCACATCTTAACTCGAATTATAAACTCGAATCAGTGAAGTGAACGGGACTTTAGAAAATTCCTTCCACACTAGCGAAATATAACAAACATAAAATGGCTAGCTATTTCAATTTTGTATCATTTTATTCTTTAAACTGTAATAAATGCAAAAATTCTTTTTTAAATTTAATAAAATCATTTATATTTTAAATTCTATAAATATAAAAATAATCTATATTTAGTTAAAAAAGATAGTATAGTTAGAGTGACTCACTAAAATGTTACTAATTAAAATAGCTTTCTAATCATTTTAACTTAAATTTAACTAAAATTTAGAGAGTTTCCATGCTCTTAGTATTATTCCCTGAACTTTTATAACTTATGTTAAACATCTTCCTAAAAAATGATCATGTTAAGAACCTTATTCATGATTTTTTTTACACGTTTTTTTAAAAAAAATAAATAATAAACAAAATTCTCTCTTGTATTTTACCAAAATGATACTCCTTACCCTATACGTTTAGAAATGTTGAACCTACTTTCTACATTTACAAATCGTGTTAAAATAATAACTACCGTTTATAAATTGTTAAAAACCTGGTCCCCATAATTAGGGCTAGCAATCCGGGTTGCCGTGTTGTATTCGTGTCGTGTTGACTCTCTCAGTTAATACGGTAAGACCTGACACGAATACGATTCATTTATTATTCGTGTCGAAATACAAAATCTAAACACTACCTGTATATTAGCAGGTTGACACGACACGACACAACACGCTAACTCGTTTATTAAACAGATCATAATAGTGTCGTGTCAACCTGTTTCTAATAACCCGTTTATAAAATAAGTGATAATAAGGTCTTGTCAACCTATTTCTCAACCTGTTAACATAGGTAACAAACAGGTTGTAATTGTGTTATGTATTCGTGTTACCTAAATATTACATGTTTAATAAACGGGTTACGGCATATTAATTGTGGGTTGGCGGGTCAACCTGAAAATGACACGCTATTTAATCGTGTTTTATGGGTTTGACCTGATTTTGACCCAAACTTATTTATGATAAACCCAAACCCGCTAATTTTGTGTGAATTTTAAGTCGTATCGTCATATCGCTATCCAAATTGCATACCCTATCCATAATTTATCAAACGTACTGATTATGTGTGCAACATTTCCCTACATTTTATACTTGTTTTCTTTTTATAAATAATATCAAAATTTTCTCTTCTATTTTGTTGAAACGATTACCGTGTTTAGAATTGATCCTGTTTTTATTTTTCACATTTTTTGAAAAAGAAAAAATAAAAACGTTTTTAAAACAACGTTTGATGCAATAAATACAAAAAAGGAAATGAAAACGATTTTTTAGTTTAGCGTAAAATGAGAGAGAAATGAAAAACGACAGTCATTTTTTATTTTTTGTTTTTGTTTTCTCATCTCTCAAGCATAGAGAGAGAAACATAGATATTAATAGGTTTTTTTACACTGAAAACAATCTCTTAATAAAATTATCAAATACATTTTTAAAAATAATTTTAATCTGATTTTAAAAACGTTTTTATTTTTATACAAAAATAAAATTATTTTAAAATGAGTTCTAAATACACCGGGTGTGTTTTACTTCCATTAAAAAAAAACGATGTGTAGAATGCATTATTGTGATTGAAAAAAATAGAACTTCTCTTTTGTCAACGTTTATATCTCACACAACAAAGCTTAATATTGGACTTCACTAAGAACAACTCAAAAGAAGAAATAGAAGAAAAAAGAAGAAGCACTAAATTTAAAAAGAGAGCAAAAAGATGATGACTGTGTCTGGTCTTTGTCTTGCCTGTCTCCATCTCCGTCCAACTTTCCACTGTTTTCTCATTGCCTAATTAATATACTTGCGTAAACAAACAAACAAACAAACAAACAAGATTAATTAAAAGTAATTTGAATTTTCAGATTCTTTTTTTATTATTAATATTATTTACTTTTTTTAAATAGAGATATGGTTTGTCGTATTAATATAGTACAGGCGGTGGAGGCTTGTTGTTGTCCCTCTGCTACGCTTTTTTCTTGGATTACGCTTCAAGCTCGAAACCTCGTCGTTTTCTCTCTTCTTTCTTCTTCTTCTTCACTTCCGCTGGTTTAAAGAAAGAAAGATAAGAGAGAGAGAGAGAGAGAGCTTTTTGTTGTTTTCTTTTTCACTCTGTTCGAGATTTGTCTATGTATATATAAATAACCATGAACATACATTGACATAATAATTATTAATCTCCAGGCATTTTTGCCTGCCTTTGTCTCTCCTCCATTTCCCATTTTTCCAGCTTTCAAGTTTCCCGCTCTCTTTTTCTTGTATGAACTCTCTCTCTCTCTAGACAGTAGAGTGGTTCGTTTCAGTCTTTTTTTTTTTTTTCTTACTAGTCCTACTAAGAATCTAATTCCATTGCTTTTTCTTTCTTTCTTTCTTTCTTTTCCTTTTCCTTTTGTGTGTGTGTAGCATGTTATTTCCTTTTCATTTTACCGGAAAGTAAAAGGGAAAGAAAATGAATAGTACCAGAGCCCGCAGCACCAGTCTTCAGGCCATGAAAGCTGCTTCAAATCATGATAAAGTAAGTTTTGTCTTCTTTTTTTTTTTCTTTTTTTTTTGTTTGGGTTTTCAGAACTTCATTTCTAGACGTGAAGAAGATTTTTTTTTTTTTTTTTTTTATTTGAGTCTGATGGGCAATCCGAAATGGATGTTGAAGCTTACTTGAAAAAGAAAATGGACTTTAAATTGTTTTCAGAGAAGCTACGTCTTAAATTTCACATTTATTTATCATAAAGATAATATATTTTCACTATTTAATTCTTTCCTTTTGTTTTAAACACTGTCCAATTCTACACTTAATGACCTGAAAAGAGAAGGAAAAAAAAAGGCAAGTGCTTTTGATCCAAATCTGAATTGGTTCTCTTTCACTTCTCTCAAGAAAAGAATAGTTTTTTCTTTTCTTTTCTTTTCTTTTGGTTTCTTTTTTACTCAGGCATGCAGATAGACCCCTTTTATGTATATTTATAATATTTGATATTTAATATATATATATATATATAGTGTATAATTTTTTTATGTTTTGAATTTCCAAAGAAGGAGAAGATGGAGACCCGGATCATTGGCAGAGTCATGCGTTCTGAGAAAACAGTGGCGAATAGGCGTCGATCAAACAGGGAAAGGAAAATGGCCTTGCTTCAAGATGTATATATACATATATATTTCTTTTGCAAAATTTATTGCTTATTTTTCCCACTATCTTTTTTTTGTTCAAATTTTAATTTGTTGATGTGCTTTTCGGCAAATTTACAGGTTGATAAGTTGAAGAAGAAGCTTAGACATGAAGAGAATGTTCATAGAGCATTAGAAAGAGCTTTTACTAGACCTCTAGGAGCCTTACCTCGTCTTCCTCCTTATCTTCCTTCATATGTAAGTGTTATATTGTAACTCTACGATTATAATTCTTACTTATGTATCTGTTATGTCTTGCTCTTCTTCTCTTTTATTTCCAATGGCAAGAAAAGGGAATGTAGAAGTTCTTTTTTTGATGCTTAAAATGTGATGTTGAAGTAATGGGGTATGCCGAATTTTCGGTTTCAGACATTAGAACTTCTTGCTGAAGTGGCTGTGTTAGAAGAGGAGGTCGTTAGGCTTGAAGAACAGGTTGTGAATTTTAGGCAAGGTTTGTATCAAGAAGCCGTGTATGTGTCATCCAAGAGGAATGTGGAAACTTCGAATGATTCGATGGACCAAACTCCGGTGAAAATCACTAAACATCAACGGTCGAAATCTTTGCCCCAATTCGAGCTTAATTCCGCAACTAGTTCATCAGCCACAAAGTCTCAACCTTCTCTTGCTAGAACTACTTCGAGTAGAAGGCTACTTCCCAGTGATGCAATCTCAGTCAGAACTGGGAATTGTTCCACTAGACAAGTTAATGGAAGACAAACTCCGAGAAAACCCGAGACATCTTCTTCGCCCTCTGAAGATTCACGGGGAAAAGAGAATCGGTTGTGGACAAATTTCGTCAAGGCGTCCCCTGAAAAGAAAAATTCCAAAGTGGTGACTCCATTGAAGAAACCTCCAATCAAGCATGAACAAAAGGACAAGACCCCAGATTCGTTGAAAGTACAGGTATTATAAGATGCGCTAGAAATTTTCAAGTTAGAACTAGTTTCTGCCTCATTTCGGTTGTGTTAATTGCATCTTCTGATTGTCCAGCTAGAAAGCAGACTGGTAGACCATGAAAGAGCACAGGAGAGTTGTTCTGGATCACCGGATAGCAAAGTACTTGAAGCTGATTGCTCACCTAATAAAGTCTCTGAGGATATTGTCAAGTGCTTGTCAAACATTTTGCTGAGAATGAGTACATTAAAGGATAGAGAGACAGAGTTTCGAGATCCTTACGGAATATGCTTGGAGTTCAGAAATGCAGATATTGGCCCTTACAAGCATCTATGTGCTATTGATGCTACTTCAATTGATATCAGCCGTACAACAAGTGCATTGTTTCTGATGCACAGACTCAAGTAAGTGAATATAATTTGTAACTATGCATTGATCATGCAACGAAGGGCGGAACCATGTACAGTCGAGGATAGGCAGCTACCCAACCATGATTTTTTTTTTCTTTTACTTTTATATGTGATGAAAATTTAGTTTGCCCATCTGAAATTCTAAAATTCTGTGTTTGCCTCATTTCTAAACATGTGAAATCTTTTACTTCACTTATATGTGAAATCTGATGAAAGTCTTAGCATGCGCCCCATCCCCCTCACTTGTTATTATTATTTATTTTTCTGGCTCTGCCCCTACTGATATATGATATATGAATATATTCTTTTGCTCATCAAATTTAAACTATATTGATCATCACATTCAGGTTCCTACTCGGAAAGCTTGCCTCTGTGAATTTGGAGAGTCTTAACCATCAGCAGAAGCTTGCATTTTGGATTAACATTTATAATTCTTGCATGATGAATGTAAGATGTTTCTCCTTCATATACTAGCAATTGTAAGACCAACAAAGTTAGTGTGTTTAAATCGCGAGTTCTATCGAATTTCATTTACCATTTTCATGTTTTTTTTTTAATAAAAATTGTTTGATTTTGTAGGCATTTCTAGAGCATGGTGTACCAGAGACCCCAGAAATGGTTGTATCACTAATGCAAAAGGTAAGAACAACAGTTTTTTTGTTGCGTGGAACAGTGTCAAAGGCAGTGCATTCAATTTTTAGTACTCGGATATAACTGTTAATTCGTTTTCGATTGATATCCCAACCGAAATCTTTTTAATGAGATTTATTAAGTGGCACATGATTATCAGCTTTTGAAGATAAAAGTTGTAAGGTTGTGCTTGTTTTCCCCACATTACTTCAGAGGACAAACTGTGCTTCCAATATCTAGTATTCTGATAATGTCAAGTACTGTCAGATAAATCATCCTGCAAGTAACCGCATTTTCACTGTGCTTGGCGCAGGCAACAATAACTGTGGGGGGACACTTGCTGAACGCAATTACGATTGAGCATTTCATCTTGAGACTGCCTTACCACTTGAAATTTGTTAGTACATCCATACATCTCATCTTTAATAGGTTGCATAAAGTAACCTACATTGACAATTTATTTGTACCATGTTTTTACTGCTGAACAGACCTGTCCAAAAGCTGCGAAAAACGACGAAATGAGAGCTCGAACCATATTTGGATTGGAGTGGTCTGAGCCGTTGGTCACATTCGCCCTCTCTTGTGGAAGTTGGTCCTCTCCTGCTGTAAGTTCCGTCTCAAAATTATGCAAAGATGAACTTGAAAAACAGTTAATTCATCGCTCTTGAATAGAATTCATTAAAACACAGTTCGTTTTTTACTTTAACTCTTTGAGAAAAGTGATCCGAGTCTTAGTCAACTGATGTAGAAAACTTTTTTCTTTTTTTTTTTTTTTAAGTGGTTCTTAAATCTTTAATGTTGGTCAAATGAAGGTGAGGGTGTACTCGGCTTCTCAAGTTGAGGAAGAGTTGGAAGCAGCAAAAAGGGACTATCTACAGGCCACAGTTGGTATCTCAAGGACAAACAAACTAATAATACCAAAACTATTGGATTGGTATCTCCTTGACTTTGCAAAAGATACGGAATCATTGCTTGATTGGGTGTGCCTTCAACTGCCCAAAGAAGTCAGAAATGAAGCAGTTAAATGCCTTGAGAGAAGGGGAAGACAGCCTCTTTCACAGGTGGCACAAACAATGCCATATGACTTCAGCTTCAGGTTGCTATTACGCCGCTGAAAAATCTCTTCCAATCTTTTCTCATCCTCACTTTCCATGGCTGTGAACTTTGGATGCAATCTTTTTCGCATACTAGTGTATATTTCGACACGATAAAAAGTACATAATCCAGCTCTTTTGAGCATCTGTGGGCAGTGTTCATCTCCCAAAATTGGTTTTGATGATTGGTTTGTGAACATATATGGATTAGGGGAATAAACGTACTTTGAGGATGCCAATGTCTTTCACTTGAATGATTTGTAAGACATTGTAGCTTTTGAATCAGCCAGTAAAAAATTTTCATAAATAAAAAGGGTGGATTTCTGTTGGTCTTGATTAAAAGCAGCGATTACACTAATGGCCCGTTTAGTTCGCTGATTCGAGTTTTTAATTCGAATTGAGATGTGATTTTATGTGAACTTTTTACTGTAACAAAAAAGTTAGATGTGATTGTTTGTGAGAGCTTTTTACTGTAGCAAAACTTGAATTTTAAACTCGAATCAGCGAAATGAACGGGGCCTTAAATTTCTATTTTGATAATAATACTATAACAAAAGGACGATGATATTTGAGGCAAACTCTCCTCGACCTAAAAAGCTTTTTAACCAATTCGAATTTGAGGCTAAAGATATAATAACTGTAAAGTGAAAATGACTTTCCAACCAAACAGACCAAACCCCATTTTTCTTTTCGTTTCGTTTGATAGAAACAATTTTACAATTGAGATTTCGTTATAAATAGTAGCTGTCTATCTTAGTTAAAGTTATTGTGTAAATCAATCAAAATTATTGTTCATGTTAAAATCTTATTGTGTAAATAATAACCGTAAATAGTGTTGAAATTTTTTTTATAAATAAAGTTTCAAAACTCTTCATTTTCTATACCTTTACAAAATTAAGGAAACTTTCACTCTAATTTCTCTCTAAAATTTTTCTTTTTAGTTTTACATTTTCTTAATTTTTATATCAAATATGATTTATTGTTAGGCATTCTTTATGTGCGAGATAAATAGAGATGTCAAATGGGCCGGGTCGTCCATGGACGGCCCGGCCCAGCCCGTAATAGTGCCTGATTCAGCACGGCCCGGTTCGCTACTGCTACGGGCCGTGCCGGCACGGCACGTGTAATGGGCTAGGGCTGGGCCTCAGCTTCTCAGCCCGCGGCCAAAGCACGTGGAGGCCCGCGGCAAGGCCCTTGTTCGGCCCGGCCCAAGCCCTTGTTCGGCCCGGCCCAAGCCCGCAAAACGGCCCATGAAACAGCCCATTTCATTTGGTCCAGGGGGCCCTTCGCGGGCCCAACGGGCGGCACGTGACGGGCCTCCCATTTGGCCCGTCACATGCCTCTCGTTTGGCACATGACAGGCCAAACGGGAGGCCCATCATGTGCCGCACGTTGGGCCCGTGAAGGGCCAAACGGCAAAAAACTGAAAATTCACCCCTAAATCCCTATAAATACCCTTTAATTTCACCATAAATCTCACACAACAATTCACTCTCAACTTCTCATCTCACTCTCATTTTATCTCTCAACTTGTCTCTTTGATTTTGATTCTAAGCTTTTCTCACGCGTTCATTCATTTTCTAGCTCTTTCATGTACAAAGTTTAATCAAGTTCTATCAATTTCCAGAAATGGCCGCTCCAAACTTTCCTGATTTCACTGCTCTTCCTGAGCTTGGTGATGAGCCATTTTATGAGGATGAAATGATGCCTCCCAACCCCACCCCCACTGAACCAGAAAATGCTCCGGTGGATAATGCTTCAGTACACAACGAGAAAGCTGGAGAACGCAGCAGAGGAAAAAGACTGCGAACTTCTCCGGCATGACAGCATTTCACCGAGTAGCCCCGACCAAATCCAAAAACATGTGAGATGGAAATTCGTGCGGTATGTAAATATTGTAAAAATCACTTTTCTAATAAAAATGGTGGGGGTACTGGTCATCTGGATAGACATTGGAAAGTATGTCTACCGTTGCACCAAGGTGGGAGTGTGGACTCCCGCCAACAAACACTATCACTCACATCACAGGGGTTATAAAATTTTACATACGATGCACAACTTACTCATGAGGCACTAGCTAAATTTCTAGCTAGTGCCGATTTGCCTCTTTCTTTTGCAGATGATGCCTCGTTCGAAGAATTCATCCAGACAACCTTTTGCCCACAATTTAAACTGGTAAGTAGAAGCACAACTCGTTCTGATTGCATGAAAGTTTTTTATGCAATGAGACAATCTCCTGTAGATAATTTTAGGACTTTTAATGCTACTGTCTCTTGCACTTCTGATCTGTGGGAGGGGTGCAACAAAACTAGATATTTATGTGTCACAGCGCACTACGTTGATGACGATTGGGTTTTACAAAAAAGAATAATTAGTTTTCGTTTATGTCCATATCCTCATAACGCAACAGCTATTTTTAATACAATAATGGAAATTTTTGGGTTTTATGGGATAGAAGATAAAGTTTTAACAATTACTTTTGATAATGTGTCAGCTAATACAGCTGCAATTAATCTGTTTAAACATAGTTTGAAACCAGCATTTGGAGGGGAAATTTTTCATCAACGGTGTGCATGTCACATAATTAATTTAGTAGTTCAGGCAGGAATTGAACATATCTCAGCTAATCTTACAAATATTAGAGAATCATTCATTCATATCTAGTTCTGGAGCTTGGCTCCAAGAATTCAAACAATATTGCAGGAACAGCCAGATGCCCCCAAGAAAGTTTCCAACTGACGTGAGACATAGGTGGAATTCAACATATTTAATGTTGAAGGCAGCACTCCCGTATTCACAGCTTATCACAACATACGTAAACAGTAAGAACGATCAAATTTTAATTTTCGATCCTGATTGGCAGATTGCTGAGTATTTTTTAAAATTTATATAAGTTTTTTACAATGCTACTGAATTACTTTCTGGAGTTTATTATCCTACTGCACATTTAGCTTTACATCAACTATTTAATATTTCAGAAATATTTTCTTATTATAGGGATACATAACTTTTTGAAAATATAGTTAACTTAATGGAAAATAAATTTAAAAGTTATTCGTCAAGTTGTCCCATGTTATATGCATTGGCGACCATTTTAGATCCTAGGTGCGGAGTAGATGGAACTGAATCATTTATGACTGCTATTGCAGAGAATTTAGAAATAGATATGCAACTAAGTATTACTGACGCTAAGAAAATGTTATAAAAAGTTTTTAGTTTGTATGAAGCAAAATATAGCACAGGTCAAAAAGAACAGGGAACTTCATCGTCAACTACCAGTTCGGGGCCTAAAGGATCGTCGTGGAGTTTCTTAAAGAATAAAGAGAAAACGGCAGGATCGTCCTCAACACAAGCGTCTACGGAATTAGTCAAATATTTTGAAGTAAATTTTGTAATCGATGACGACAAACTAGACATCTTACAGTGGTGGAAGAGCAAGACCGATCATTTTCCAACACTGTCCATAATAGCTCATGACATTCTTACAACTCCAGTGTCAACGGTAGCATCGGAGCAAGCTTTTAGCACAAGCAACCGAATTCTTGACAAGAAGAGAAGCATAATGCATCCAGATATCTTGGAGGGACTAATGTGCGTTAAAGACTAGGAAGATGCCAGAAGACGAAAACAACAATACACAGATGATTCGATGCAAGAATATTTTTCTAACTTAGAAATAACAGAATTTTCTTGAAGCACTTTGGTTTGTAATTTACTATTCCTAACTACTGCACTCTTTTTTCTTTCGCTAAGGTTTTGTCTCGATCTCCCCACGGGTTTTACTTAGCAAGATTTTTAACGAGACAGTCATTTATGTGTACTCCTATTACGTCAATTCAACAAAATCACATCTTTTAGGGCGTATGATATATTTTTTTAATTAAATTTAAAAAAAAAAATACAAGGACCGGGGCCGGCCCGTGAAGGGTATGAGCCCAGGCCCTAATGGACTAGGGCCAAGGGCCTGGACCGGGCCTGAATTTTTCTTCTCAGGCCCGGCCCAGGCACAGCCCAAGCCCGTAATGGGCCTGGGGTCAAGCGTGCTGTGCCGACCCGACACAGCACGTTTGACCACACTAGAGATAATGCCTTTCATCGTCCATAGCGTCTGGAAGGGGGCCAGAGATGCTCTCTCCTTCCTGATTGTCTTTTGTTTTCTCCTTTTAGGAAACATGCAGCACCTGCAGCTCGACATATCAGGCCCCACCAATTCAACATTTATTCCCGCCATAATAAATGCTTGTTCTTGACGCTTTTCATTTTTCACACATGAGAGAGAGAGAGAGAGAGAGAGAGCTTAGCATAGAAATGAACCAGCACACCATTAAGATATACAGGGGAAAAAAAAAAAGAATAGCAGTTTTGCATTTCAAGAACTTAGGAACCTACACACGCATCAGTTAAAGAAACTGATTTTTTTTCCCCCTCTCTATTTTAGGCATCCATGACCATGATTTTACAAAGAATAATACTTTACAAAACTAAAAATATCAATGGCATCCATTCTTTTCTAAAAAGAAAAAGGAAAAAAGAAATAGAATACAATATGGGCGAGGACAATAAGCAGCGTGGCTATTAATGAACAGCAAAATGAGACACAAAAACAAACTCACAACAAACAAATTATACATAACCCCGAGCTGCAATTTTCTCGCTCTACTATAAATTCAACACCCTCGAAAGGGCATTTTGCAGTGGCAACTTTGATGGGGTGAACGAGGCACGACAACATTCTGGAACTGTTTTCCCAAGTTAGCCTATAAAGCCGCAACCTGTTTGTAACTCCCCTAAAGTTAGCCAAATGGTGAGGGAACTGGTCCTGTGAGCGCATCTGATCTTTTAATGCTTCCCATGCCACAAATAATACATCCAGGGGTCGAGAGAGCCGAAAACTTGGCCCCGCAGAGATCACATACATCATAACCGATGGTTGACAGACGACTAAGAGTGGCATAACAGAACTGTGACGGATCTTCCAATGGATCAATGGACTTGTTGGATAAACCCCTCTGAACACACATGTCAATTAGGCTCCTAAGCTCGTCCTGCTTACTTGGAGGCGCTTTAGAAAGAAGAAGTTCCAGCATCTGCTTAGAATAGGCAAAATTTTGCACTTCCATGTTACGTTTAATGGCAGTTCGTATGCAGTTTATCCGGTGCTTTGCCAGAAGAGGCAATGAACCTAGATGACGAGAAAGTCTCGCCATCTCGTCTTTTGCACTTATTGCACTGGGTCCTTGGACTTTCTGCAGCCTCCCAATTTCCTGTGGCAGAACGCAAAAGAAGTGTTGAGTTATTGACTTATTGTGCATCGTCATGATGTGGGGTGGGAAGAGAACCACATAGATACCTTTCCAACTACGGGATTAGAAGTTCAGAGATATAACTTCTGCTGCTGCTGATGATGATGATGATAATAATAATAATAATAACAATATTTAATAATATTATTATTATAATATTTAACAATAATGATAATGATAATAATATTTAATACTAATGATAATAATAATAATAATAATAAAGCTCATTCTGAATTGATATAGGACTTGTAACCACTGTACCTGAAGAAGATTAACTGCTAACTTGTACTGAGCACAGATGGTTGCTTGGGCTTTAATATCAGCTCCACGGGACTGATCCTTTGCCAGTGCAAGAAAAGCTTCATCAAAACAAGATAAGGCATCTGAAAGTTGATTCTGTTCCAGGTGGGCAATTCCAGTCTTAAAGCATACAGAAGCAGCGGCGCCACGAGGAACCTGTTATGAGGAAATCCACAAACATTATTACAACAAAACTTGCAAATAAAGTAAGAGAGCAACAATAGATTATTTAGGATTTTGGGGAAGTACGAAATTTTAAAAGGACTCCTATGAGATGATGAAAACCTCTTATGATAGCCATCCACTTCCGGAACTTATCTTATAGACTAAAATATGCAGATATCAATGTATTACCTGTCCAGGACGCACAGAGGAGGGTGGCGAAGTAGGACGTGCTGCAGGCTTTCCAGAATCTGCAACTCCAAGGACGCTAAGATCAAGAGGCTGTGTGAAAATTGGAACCTGAGTTGCCTGGGCCTGAGGCTGTGGCAGTCCAGCAGGTTGGCCAGAGGGTTGTGGTGGGACACCACCATCAGGAAGCCCAATTGAATCCAGGGTAACGACAGGTTGTTGAGCAGTTTGAGGGGGAACACCACCATCAGGAAGACCAATATCAGCTTGAGATACAGGAACCTGGTTAGTCATTACATTGTTGCTTTGAATACCTTGAGATGATTGGTCCATTTTTGAAAGATAAGTCCCTGGGGGAGGCAATGAGGCTGCAACCTGAAAGGATGGTATGGTATGCTGGAAAAAGTCCTCTGGAATGGGTCCAGATGTAACTCCCATACCCATTACCATCGGAGCCGGTTGTGATACTGTTGCAGTTTGTGTCAATGAGACTGTACCAAATGGATCAGCAGGCACAGAAACTGCAGGAGCAGACACCGTTGCACTGTTAGTAGTAGATGACGGGGGTAAAATCTGGCCAAGGTCCTGCGACCCACTAGTCAATGACTTGGTCCTGCTTATTGGCAGACCCAAACCTTCACCAAGCTTGAACTGCTTTGTGGCTTCTTTAATCTTATTCACATCCACTGTCGTTGAAGTAACTGGCTTATCACGTATTCTAATGTGTAACTTTTTAGTTTTTGACACTCCCTCTTCATCACTGCTGCTACCATCAGCAGTACCGTACATGGATTTCTTGAATTCTTCTTCAGCTTTAGCCTGCTCATCTGCAGCAGTGGAACCAGAAAACTGTTTTGCTAGGGTTTCCAGACCCATCAAGGAATTGCCCTTCGAATCACCATTCGTAACTGCTTTGGACTTATTAGAAATGCCAAGAGCAGTTGGAAGACCATTTGGCTTGTCTGCACCTGCAGGAGGTGTAGGTGCTCTCACCAGGATACCTTCCCTTACTTCCACAATGTTTCCTCTGCCTTTAATTGAACCCAAGTAAACACCAATGTGATCAGCAATCGTGGATGGGATGGTACCATCATCACTCTTCATGTATGGCAACACTTCAGTAGCCAACTCCCACTGAGGTATAGCCTTCAAGTTAGTAGGGGTTTTCATTTCCCAGTTTCCGCCACCCCATTCAGGTCCTTTAGGAACCATACTCTCAGCGGCAAAGTTAGCAAAAATGCCTTGGGTCCACCCAGTAGAGCGAACTCTTAATATCCTCTCACAGTACCGCCTCAATTCTGAATCAGTTCCTTCTTCTTCCAATTTTTGACATAGACGGCGCATTGCACTGGGATTTAGGTGGCATATAAATAGATCAAGCATGCTTTCATAGTCCGCTATAACTTCAAAAGTTTCCTTTGCACTATCAAACTGAGCGAACCTTCAATTCAGGTGTTCCATCAAATACCAATTTAAAGAAACACATGAACCATCAGTCAGCAGCAATAGGAGAAAAAACCCCGCGGAAAAAGTATAAGTTTACTGAAGAGATACTTAAAAGGTAGACACAGAAGTTTTATTGCAAAAAGAAGTATAGTGCACAAAAAAGTCATTGAATTTCCAATCACCATCATTGCAAAATTTTTGGATATTATTAATCATCTAATTTTCCTTGGTTAGGAAATACTAAAAAAGAGAGGAAGAACAAAGTAATAATCATGATATCTAAATGATACCCAGTTGTTTAGATTGTCTCCACATAACACCAGCAATAGAACACTGATAGCAAAGCTGAACTGATAGTATCAATACACCTGTCTAGTTCTAACCAGGTTACGGATGGAAACATATGATCATTTGTGCGAAATTTTTCTCTGAAACACTAAAATCCCATACGGTAAATGTAACTACTATATGCCATGTTGTCTCAACCAAACAAATTTTTAGTTACCATTTTTATTTCACTGTCAAGGGAAAAACTAATCCCACAACTAGGCAGAATATAAACCAGAAACACTTATCCTAAGAGCATGTAGCTTACAGAGGAGCCTAAATTACCACTATCATACATGTCAGTGTACAATGAAGAAAAGTATTAAAAACAGAGGCAATCAGTAACAGAAAAAGTTTAAGTACGTTCGAGACTGTCACTAGAATTGACTTTATAGCATAAGAAATAAGAATGAAATATATCTTATCTGCGTACTTGATACAAGCATAGCCCAACTGGCGGAAACGATGAAACAAATGAGAGGTTGGAGGACATCTCGGATAATCTCTAGAACGGAGGAACTCATCTTTCAGAACAGATAAGGCAGTAGAAAAACGAAGAGCGTTGATAGCATAAACTCCTCGCAACACCTAAGTTCAGTTTGCAACATGTTGAGTACTAAATTGAATGAACAGAAAGATTTGCAAAATGACACGCAACTATTCACTTACTTGAGTGAATTGCGGGCCTGCTTGGGATAAAGACACAGCAAGATCTCCACAGACCGGGGGACCTCTAGCAAGAATATCAAGAGACCTTGGGGTGATACGCAAGCTGTCAAACCTTGATTCAGGCAGTAACTTGAGATGTCAGATTTCAATCATGTCATTACCTTTCATGCATGCTTTGATTGAGATGTAGAAAGAATGGAAAAGGCACTAGGTTCAAAAATTTCCAAGAGTAAAAGGCAAAAATGGTGAATGAATAATGAATGTCCCAAACAACTGTCAGTGAATAAGCATGTTATAAGAAAACCTTGAAGTAATTTGGTACAATATTTCTGAAAGGTCAAGCTTCTGCTCAAATCTTTCTTGCATGGTAGAAAAGCCAATAAGAAGAGGTTCAAGAAGCCCAACAAGACAACTTTTAATCTCAACTCCCCTCTTTTGTCTAGGATTTATTTCTGTTGGGTTAGCAAGCAAAAGACGATCATTTAGAGCACCAACCAAAGCTGCCAAAAAAAAAAGGAAAAAAAAAGAAAGAAAAGAAGGGTCAGAAGGATAATAGTAGAATAAGGAATGGCAGACTATGAGATATAGACCAATAGAGCACTCAATGTTGCAGAATTGGCGATTAAAACCAGCATCAGCAGCCTAAGTTTGTACCTGCATGAGGCATACTTATAGAGAGAATAGTCCTCACTTTCCCATCCCAGCCAAGCACACTAATTGCAGTGGCAGTAGAAAAAAGAAGTGCCGGACCCACCCATAACAGGGATCTAAAGTGGACCAAAGTTAAGCGCTAAACACGTTTATAACCTTCATACATATATATCAATAAACAGGGAAAAAAATTTAGATGTTGTGTAAGGATATTGAGGGGAGTCCCATATCGTATTTTGTCGAACTGCTAGCCAGGATCTCAAGGTCCGCTGAGACCAGAAGCACTCTTTGTGTGGTTAATATCCCTACAACATAACCTCTAAGAGTCTCTTGCCATTGAACCTGTCAGTGAATAAAGTGAGCTTTTTGAACAATAGACACAAAACCAACCAAACATCTCATAGAGCATTCTCAAATAAAATAACTTCCAATATTTCAAAATTGCTATGTGAGATGGAACCATATCCATTAACTATAAGACTGACTCAAAGATAACAGAATTTTCAACAACGTCAAAGGTATCTCCTAGAGAAAGGCGCAATACTGGATTTTTAATATATACCATGTCTATAAGGTTAACAGTATCGAAATCATAGGTAACTCATAACTGAAAATATGATAAATTTACACAATACAAAAATAGGCCCAATATGTTTCTTGTTTGGTATGCACTTTAGGGGAAAAACAGGTCTTATTCTTCCAGAACCAAAACATCGTATACGGACCCTAATTACAAGGCCTACGCTGTATAGTTGTATAACTGCTAACACTAGTTGCGAAATAAATTTCCAACATGTTGGATAAGTGACTTTTAGAGACAGCAATATGGAGCTTCTTAAAGGACTACTTAAAAGAATTAAAAAAAAAGTGAAATAAAATGAAATAAAACCACACCACACACACTTTAAGTTGGCTTGAAAGACTAAATGGTGACCTGAAGTACAGTCTCATTTAATTTCAACTTGATTGACTTTTTCCCTTCACTTTTGGTTGATAGATAATGGCCATCAGAAGTTGATAAGCGGTATCCTTGAACCAGCTTTACCAAGCCAATCTGATTACCATGAGAAGAAAACAGCAAGGATGACTCTACAATCACACGGGTCCATGGTTAGTATATATGTTATACAAAAAATTTTCAAAAATACCAAAATAAAATATAAAATAAAATAAAAAAGATCTTTGCTCACCCAAAGGAGTAGAAAAGATACGATCAGCTTCATCTTCAAATAAAAACTGCTTGGGCCCTCGGATAGAACCACCATCATTGTCCAGAGATTGGTTATCTTCAACAGCTCCGTTCTTTTCATTACTTTCCTGAGAAGTCTTTCCTGGAAGAATATATAAAGCCAGTCCAGTCTTATCATCATCAAGAATTGCAAACTGATTCTCGTTGGGGCCAATAAATGCTGCATCTCGACCTACAAAACTCAAAGATGCAAATCATAAATGACTAATTAGTTCTCCCACCTAAATATTTAGGTATTTTAGCAACAAGGAAAAATTAAGACATTCAGAATCACGCAAACCTTTCACCGTAGTGCATTTACTGTTTGCTGACTGAGTCTCGGTATTTTCCGAATAAACAACCACCTCATTTGCAGAACCACTGAACTCATAAACAACAAGGAAGATGTGCTGTTTTTTACTGTAAAGCATGTATTTCGGATGGTATTCCACATTTCCAGGAATCTGGAAAATATAGGAGATGAATAAAGGTTACAACCCAAACAAAAATTGCTGATTTAAAAAAGTACAGCATTTATATTACCGAGTTATAAAGTTTCTTATAGATACTATCAGCTCCTGTGCATAGATTATAAGCCATAAGGTTTGCACCATCCACGTAGAACGCCCGAACAGGATAATGCAGAACACGATTTTCCTTATTGAAGAAATTGAGCTCCAAGTGAAAGGGCTGCACGTAACCCAATGGTGCCGTTCACAACTCAATAATAGCAGTTGAAACAGTAGACAACACTATGATGGCAAGAAACCTAACCTGACAAACTGGAGTGTCCTTCAGGTGATGCTTAAAGTCTAACATAGTGATGAGAGGCAGCCGAGAAATTGGAGCACTTTTAGCATGACCTTCCATGAAATGCTACATAAACAACACAACAGTAAATCTAAAGAATATGAAGAAGTCATTTACAGAAGTTGAGTAGATCAAACGCAACTTACACTGTAAAGAAAAGCCTTCCGTGCAATATCCGATATTGTAAGTTGACTGCGGCTGTAAAAAACAATACAGAAAATCATTATGTGTGCGCCAGTGTGCATTACAACAAAGAAACAAATAATAAAAGACTGTTCACGTCTCTATGTGCCTATATTCTTAATAGTTTGTTCCAGAAATTTTGTTACCAACCTAGCAATATCTCAAACAATCATCACCAAACGAATATATATCATTAAGTTTGTATGCAAGTGGGTAATCTCACCCTTTAAGATGATGCTCTTGCAATTGCGCTTGAAGTTGATGGTCAGCTAATATTCCAGATGAACCCAGGGATGAAAGCTTTTCTTTCAAAACAGAAGCTGCAAAGTACCTCTACTATAAGTCTAGTCAACAGACATACATACATACACACGAATGCATGTGTGTGCACGCGTGCGTGCTTGGTGATTGATAGTGTGTACATGCTACAAACAACAAAACTATAGGGTTTGGCAACTAGAAACTAAACATCTGTAAGTAAACTAGAGTATCGATAAAATTAGGAAATCAATTTACAGATAATGCAAAATTTTAAAAATGTGCTATCATGGGGAAGAAGATTCCAGAAAAAATACGATAGAGAGGAATGGAAGAAAAATAAGGAGATGCTCCATATTTTATCATAAACCAACAGAAAGGTATATTTGTTTTAAGAGGCAAAATTGAGGCGAAGATTGTAAGCATTGAGGCTTCAAAATAAGAGGTTTAAGCCTCTCCAGATAAGCGTATACAGAGACAAAGCCTCGGCATATTTGCACTTAAGTTTGACTTTTGGCTGGCTAGGGAGGAAGCCTGTTCAAGAGAAACAAAAGCTCACTCTTTATGGACGTTTTGTGAGAGACAATATTGGACAGCAACATTTTTTAGTTACTTTTCATTACATGTCTAGTTTGTTGTCTACGTGGCTGATGGACAGATGCTTTTTCTTGACACTTGGGATTTTTTTCCTTTTAATTTCGTTCGCAAATGTTATATGCTCAATAGCTAGGTAATTCTTAATTTCTTCAAGGGGGCGTTGGTACGCGATAATCAGTAGGAATCATATTACTATGAAAGTGATAGAAAGTAATATGATTCCTAGGAAACGTGTGTTACAACGTTTGATCACATACAAGAATCTCCTCTCACTTTCCCAAGAATATTATTTTACTGTATTTGGTTGTTCACGATATTGCAATATATTTTTTTTAATAAAATCAATAAAAACTTAAAAATTCCAAAAGCAATAACTTTTAACTAATTTTTTAGACGAATAAATTACGTTAATTGAAACTGATATAGGTAAATTTAGTTAATAAAAAAAAACTCCTTTTAGAAAATAAATAATGCAAAAAATTAGAAAAGAAATTCTCTCTCCCCGTCGTTTCTTCTTTCTATCTCCACTTCTCCCCTCCTCCCCCCTATTGCTCTAAGGAAAACAGATCTGATTTTGTAAGATATCATCTCAATCTTCACGATCTTATAATACGCCCAACACACCTATATGAGTTTGACCCGCTTGATCTCAAAGGCTTTTTACTTTTTTTTTCCCCTCAAATTTAAGACGTTATTCTTTGTGGGTCTTGATTCTTTGTTCTGACTTGCAATAGAGGGTCTGACTCATGGTGGGGTTGTGACAGTGCTGGAGTTGTTACCAGTGTCTGGGTGGTGGTGGAGACTGCAACAGTGCGACGGCAACCCTGAGTTGTGATGGGGCTGCAACAGTGTGATGGCGACCCTAAGTCATGGTGGGCTACGACAGCCGTCTGAGATTGTCTGAGTGGGGGGCTGAACTTCGCTGGACCTCTAGTGAGTGGTGGAGCTGCTGAGTGACTGGGCCAGAACGTGGTCAGTGGTGATGGTGGTGAGATTCCCATGATGTTGAGATTCCCGTAAATTTGAATAACAACTTGTTGGGTGGTATTCAGTTTACCTAATTTTGAGGTAAAATAAATCCCATGGGATTCACTTTCCCAAGAATGTATAAATGACAATTCTTGTACCAACTACCCAATATGGTAATCCTGTAGATTCCCATCTACCCTTAAGATTACTGCATAACAAACGCCCGCCAATTTCTCTGTGTTTCATACACGTCCAGTTTTTAAAATTTGGGACAATGTGATTATTAATAAACATATAGAGACGCGATTTATGGCTTTTTATTACGGATGTCAATGTTTCTGTCTTTCCTACTTTAAGTTGAAGCTTACACCTCACCTCAGAGAGGCAAAATGCCTACCTGCACTAGCTTTTCTAAACATGTTGCAGTAGAAGAGTTTTGGAAATACTATGATATCTGTACCAATAATCAATTTCCAAGTGTACTAGCAATTAAAAACATGCAAATCCAAACAGTTGGGCTAAATAATCAATCACCTGAAGATCCTCTTGCACTTTGTAAAACTGCAAACAGTTGTTTCCTTCCGTCCCTGGTGTATGCAGCCCTATTTTTTACATTATCTCCACCTGTCATATTCTATCACCAAAAAAAGAAAAAAAATATGGAAGTTACTAATTTGCTTTTTCAGTTTCATTGTTTTTCATGTGTGCTGTAGATTATGAAAGTAGTTTACTTAACTACAAAAAGCAGCGCCGCTAAATTTAATTTGGGGTGAACTTCCAAAGATTTAATTCGTGGCAAAGGATAAACTGCTTCCCCACCCTGTTGAGACAGGATGCGAGGGATGTCAATTGATTCGATAGCTGCATAACAATTGCACGTAATAAAAGTTAGAAATACCTAATGAGTAATGACAGAAAATTTCAACTTGCAACATAGACAACCAAAGCGTGTATGTGCATGCAACTTTGGGATTGTCAAAGACTCGATATTGCTGTGAAATTTTTGTATTTGTACCTCCGCAAGCACAGCATGAAGATGGTTGTATAAATACATCAGAGATTTATTATAGAACTTTTATAATTGATTGTTTGTGGAAAAAAAAAATGCAAACATGCAAATACTGCGTTAGCCCCTAATTAATTCAAGTATACAATCAATTATAAAAGTTCTATCATTCGATCCAGAAAAAAGCCGGTTTTAAAAAAAAAAACTATAATCCGGGGATCCTATGCGAACTCTAGAAACTGAAAGGGAAAAAGCTTAACTGCACACTCTACATGTAATCCCTTACAACAAGAAAAGAAACAAAATTTGAAATTATCAAAATTACGAAAGAAGAAAGTTGTAGGAAAAAAAATAAACATTGATTATGACTTTTCTTTTTTTTATTTTTTTTGGTTTGGGTGGGGGGGTGTGGAACTTGACATTTCAAAGTATGAGGATGAAAGAGTAAAATATAACAACTGACCAGCTGGCTCAAAAAAATTTGCTTGCATTGGAGGCCTATTAGGATTAAGTATGACCCTTGTCTTCCATGCTTGAAGATTTCCATCTTTGGATACTGTTACAAGTAACCGCGACATTGGGAGCCAAGCAACTGATGTGATTGGTTGAGAACCAACTTGCGTGCTGATTTGCAATTAAAATTGAATAATACGTATCTAATTAGCTAAAGAGGTTTAAAATATAACAAAAGTTTTCAAAAAGCACAAACAATCATAGTTTTGGCCATCAAAGACATGACTGAGTACATTTAAGTTATGATGAGGTACTACTCCAAAAACTCCAATTCCTAAAAACCAGAATCTATATGGAGCAAACACAAAATGGTTTTTATCTACATAGCTTTTCAGTCAGCCGGAGACACAATGCCCTTAGAAGTTCCAATGCCTTTATAAGGTACAAAAATAAATTAAGGCCATTTAAGGTCAACTGTCCACTAGAATTTACATGCAAATTACGAAATACTCCTAGCTCCATCTGTGATAAAGATTTCATTTAACTTGCTAAATATCATTTCCGCTTTGTAGCCTCAAGAAACCATTCGATTTTAAACCAAAAATTAAACGAATGGGAAAATGAAACATACAAAATAAGACAAGGAATCAAAGCCTAGATAATTAAGTCAAACAAACAGGGTGGTTCACGAACTAAACAAAATTCCAATACATCTCTTGAATTGAGTCTTTACAAGAATCAAAATCCTTCTAGCTCGCTACCATGATTAACTTACATTCCAATCATGTTGGGTCTCTCAGTTGACACATCCCATGCAAGAAGTGTACCACGTCGATCACCGACAAATATCCATTCCAATGTCGGATGAAAAGCAAATGCACCAGCACCAATGAGCTTTATAGTGTTGTCAACTGGCAGAAGAAAAAAGATGATAAAGGACATACCGTTAAAAAAATACAACTAACTACATCTGCAACAAGAAAGAATCAATGACATTCCCATCTTACGCTGTAATGTGTAATGAACAGCATAGGTATGAATGTTGTATGCTCGAATCAAACCATCTGCATAAGCCACGTACTGAAAAAAAGAACAAAAGAAAATTAAATTGATAAGCATTTCATGTACCTAAGAGTCGAGTATATCAGATATATTATATTTTGATTGAAAGCCCCCTTTGGCACCACCCGGATTTTGAACCTGGGCCCTTCTACCCTAACCATCTGGGCTAGTCCCAGATGGGTATATCAGATATATTACATTGCATTAACAGCATCTATAACTAGGCAAAAATCAAAAATAATTTCAACCAAATACCAGAACGGGGAGACGAGGGTGGCAAGCAAGGTTGACAATGGGCTTCTTCAAATCCGTCTTTATCTTTGTTGGTGCTCTACCCCCTTCAACAGTTCCCACGACTTCATGCATGTAAATGATCAAAAGTTAGAATAACAAATAACAATCAGGCATAACTCAACGCACAACAATATATCCATCAGAGATGAAGTAAGCAAACAAATAAAACCTGTCACACTCATCCTTCGATGGAATCCGAAAAAAACCACAGGTTGGAGAGGAGTCAAAGCAAGATGGACTTCTGAATCAGAAGAAATTTGTTCCATTTTCTTTTCTGGAGAATGAAGCACGCAGGTTTGCTCAGCATCAAAATCACAGGACCGAATGGTGCAATCCTACCAAATATAGAAAATAGTACGTTTCCATTAGAAAGAAAATATGCATAACAAATAGGAAACTAACAACCATTTAGAACTTCCAAAGCAAGCAACCAGTAAGCATTACCATACTTGTTACCAAAAGGTAAAACAACAGGAAAAAAGAAAAGGTAGCTGAGTAGAAAGAAATATACATAAAGCACGCAGCACAACAAACAAATAAATATACATTGACCTAATCTAATGGATAAATTATAAAATCCAATCTTTTGGACCAAAAGGGATGCAATAGAAAACTTGACTAATCTATTGAGGGATTATATAGTTGCTGCAGAGCTTGAATCCACTGAAAATTTCAATTCTTATGGAATACAGGCCATGCAAGAAGTGTAAGGTGAATCGCAGGTTTCAGCATTATGCAAAATGGTAATAATAATAATAATAATAATAATAATATTATTATTATTATTATTATTATTATTATTATTATTATTATTATTATATCTCAGGAGGTCCAAGCCTCTTAGAGCACTTGGCAACTCCTGAGGGGGATTTAGACCCTCCTATCTGGAACCCCTTGGCAAACTATGGGAAGTGGCCCCAAGGGGATTCGAACCCAAGACCTCACAGCCACTTAAGCAACCCCCTTGGGGTTGCAAAATGGTCTATTATAAATCACTATATTCCACAGCCTTCTGCTGTTTATAAGCAGAGCATTTTCCTTTAAGCGTACAACAACACCTATTTGTTCCACCTATCTCCCAAAGCACAAGACATATTACCCATCACACTAATCCATCTTCTACCGAAAGAATAAAAAATGAAAACTTATCTATTCAAGCACATCTTCCAAGAAAAAGATGCAAATTCAAAAGCTACTAAAAGCATATCACGTTGACACAAATTAAATCTTTCACAATGTTAAAATTAGATTTCATGGATACTATTCAAACTCCAAACAAGCATAAAAGCACTTGATTCAAGAATTTCATTCTTAGTGAGATAAAAAGCTTTGCAGTTATACTGATACCACAAAACTAAACTCTTTGTAAGAAGCAACACATATAGCATCTCATCTTCAATTAATTTAATTTTACGACTATAGAACAGCCTAAAGGAAGCACGTATGGAAGACCCACCTCAAGAATGGCAATCACAGCATGCCCGCTCGTAGGACTGTAAGACATACGGACAACGGGTGAGCCAATATGAATAGACGAGATCTTGCTTCCTGTGAAAGCATCAAATTCTGCATACAAATTGTAAGAGAAGACTGTGTTAAGACCCAAAAAAAAAAGACATACGAGTTGTAAAATCTTTTAAATTATAATAATAAAACTTGCTTGTGCTTCGAGATAAATAATAGCCTATAAGTTCAATAAGCCTTTTATCCTTCATCAATGCCAAGGTGTTCAACGTTTTCTAGATATACATGCTAATCAACGATAAATTTGGAAGTGTGACATGCTCAGCAAGCATAAAGAAAGAGAAACTGACAATATTTCTTGGTTGATAATTATATGACATCTATGACAAAGAGTATCCAGTAGATCTGTCCACTGAGCACGACTGAAAGATTGATATAGCATTTAACACATCTTTTTGCCAATGGAAAATAAAAATCCAATCTTTCCCACCATAAATAGTTCTATCACATTTTTGTTTTCGTGATCAGTTCCTACTATAACGATACAGATGCCAGTAGTCCACTACCGAGAACCTCGGATATAGTCTATAGTTTCAAGAAAAAAAAAATTAAATATCGCATAAATAGCAATTATAGGCCTTTTTATACTCCAGTAGCTCCTAGAAAGGTAAAATTCAAAAGGAAAGTAAGAGAAATGAGCAAAAAACTAGTTTACTACAGGAACTTTCACATGCAATAGTGCTCGAAACAGTCGAACATACACAGAAACCCAAGATTATGCGCTGAAGTTATACTCTACAAAGAGAGAATCAACAAAAGAAAACAAAAAAGTTCAAACATATAGCAAGAGTCCAATCAAAAGCCGAATTTACAGCGAAAAATGCAATTGATTCTGACTGGAAAACAACGATCCAGAAACTATCTGAGAAAATTCAATCAGTTGACTAAAGCTAGGAGAAAATGGCGGAATTCTAACCTATGATGTAGCTTCCAATCGCGACGGCGACGAGCGCCTGATGAGGGTGAAACGCGGCGGCGTGCGGCTGCAACGGCTTCAGACCGCGTCCGACATGGCGTAGATCCAGATGCTGCACCGTCGTCCACTCCATCGCTCTTCTCCTCAGATTTCACCTATATCGCCGAAATCACCATCATAATCAGAAACTAGAGACAACGTATACATATATATATATATATATATGTACTACATCTATATATATAGATACATAAAAATTATATGAAGACCTTATTAGACCTAATAAAAATCAAAATTGTCATGGAAATGGAGTAGATCGAGAAAGAGAGATAAAATGGGAAGAAGAAGAAGAAGCAGATCTTGCTTGGATGAGAGGAATTATGGGGAATTTGAGGTATTACCTGGTGAGAACTACGTCAAACGGAAGGTCATTTCAATGGAGAAACGCTGAGAAGAAAGAATTGCTGTGAACGTCGAGAATTCAAGGAAAGCAAAGAGGGAGAGGAGAAGGAAAGACTGAGAAAGACGATGAGATCGGAGATTCGGACTTCGGACCAACGGAGTAGATGGGCTTTACCCTATTGGGCCAACAATTCAAATACTGAGCCACTGAATTGAGAAGGGAACTGTTAAGGCTCCTTTATTTTATCTTTAAACTCATGATTTTGATTATATTTTAATATTTTTTTTTATAAAAAATTTAAATTTTAAATACTAGAATTAATAATCATTGATTTGAATACATGAATCACACAGGCCTTTATAGGTTTTAGGCTTGAATTGACAGATAAAAAAATAGAGAATATATTCTTGAAAGTGTATGAGTTTAGACCTTTATCTTTTACTCTTAATAAATACCTTTTTTTAGTGTAATTACTCGACTAAAAAGGTTATGAATCAAGAATAAATAGTAAAAATCCTGACACATACACTTTTAAGAGGTATTTTATCAAGATTACCCTTGATATATACCTAGAGCTAAAAGTTTGGGTCAGTCGGAAATATGCATGCAAGGTCGGGCCGGGCCAGCCCTAAAAATGAAAGGTTCGGATAAATTCGGCCTTAACACTCGACGGGGCCTAGGATCGTGCTGGATCGGCCCAGACTTTTACAAAGAAATGTGAAAATAAAATAAAAGTACTTCAGGCCGGCTCACTCCGGTCCGAAAATAATTTAAGGCCCAAAGTATCCACCCAGTTCGGTGCCAGGGTTAGGGGCCGAGCCGAGCCTTGGCCAACAGTGACAAGTTTAGGACCGGTCTGTTTAGCCCAACCTAAACTTACAGCTCTATCAGGAAGGGATTGCGGCCGGGTGTTTTTGTGGGATTAGGTTTAGGATTGATTTGGGGCTTATTTTGAATTTTAGGGAACTAATTATAATATTAATTATAGGCTAATGATTTAGGTTGTTTTTCTACTGTGATTTGGTTTTTGGCACCAGCATATATGGCCAAATTTTAGGATAAATACTATATTTATGATAAATACCGTATTACTGGGTAAATACATTATTTTTAGGTAAATACGCTATTACCGGGTAAATACAATATCTACCAGTTGCCGGCACTAATCATCAGTCTTTTATGATAAATATAGTATTTTATCAGTAAATACGGTATTTACCGGTTGTCATTACCGGAAAATTTATCGAAATTATTGTATGAGATAGAATTTCTTAAAATCCTTTGTATTATCAATATGAATATTTTTATGATAAGTATTTGTTGATATAAATATGGAATAGCAAGTTATAAGATAAAGTTCAGAAATTTCTGAAGTATGATGTAGTTATCGATTTTCAGACTGTATTTAAGAATGAGGTACGGAACACTGTGTTAAACCGACAAGTGGGTAAACACATGAATATTAAGGTTGAGAAATGGAAAAAAAAAATTGAAAAACATTAATTCTAGGGTTTTAGAAACAATCGGAACAAAAAACAGACGAAAAAGGGGTTCAGAGAGCCGAACCGAGAAAATTGAGGTTTTCGACCAAATAGGGTTAACCAAGTCAAAATTTATTGACCAATAGTCAATTAATAAGTCACTCTTGAAAGGATAGTCAAGGTTGAACAAAGTTGACTTTGTAGACTAACTGTTCAAAAAACGCGTACCAGATAGAAATTAAACTGAACCAAAATAAAATAGTTATTAGAAATTGACGGTTGAGATTTAAAGTGAAAAATTAGATGAAAGGCTGAGATTGAGGCATGTGGAATGCAAGGTGGCCGGCCAAGCTTAGTAAAGAAGGAAAGAAAAGATATTTTTGATGAAATTTTACAAAAATGCCCCTCAAAAGTACTAAAATTACATTTCAGTCCTCCCACTTTATTAAGTCTGGTTTTTAAGAGGTAAATATACCACCAAATGTTCATTTTTCATGTTAAGAATAGAGAGAACTCAGCCAAAGAGAAAAGAAGAAAAAAAATTCACCCAAAGTGAGAAAAATAAGTTTTGATTGAAATTGACGAAACGACACCGCTAGTTCGCGTCATTAAGGATTTCTCTTCATTCTCTAAGGTAAATGTTGGTTTTCTTTTCACTTTTTTCTACCTTGGCTGCACGTTAGAGTATGGGGAAAAGCATGAAATTTTTTTTGCATAAGATGATGATTAAGCTTGTGGTTGTTAAGAACTTGAAAATCTAGTGATTAAGGAGGAATTCTAGGTTAATTGACCTTTGTTTCTAGAAATTCTTGGTAAGGAGAATTTTTGTGGAAATATGGAGAAACTCTAGAATTGTGATGTTATTGAGGATTAAATAGAAAGAGAAAGAATAAGAATTGTGTTTGATGGTGGAAACAACAGATAAAACGAGCTAAAGTTAGCTCGGGAAACCTAGAAAAATAGGCGGAACTTTGTCGAAATTTAGTTTGAGCATTTTGAACTAAACCGGTTTTCATGAGGAATAAGGGATTAAGATGTGAAAAGTAAGCCGATTTGATAATCGGTGATGTATAGAAAACTGAACACAATGAGAAGTCAAAGATTTGGACCAAAACTAAAAATTAGGCCCATGACTGAGGAAAGTACACAATTTTAATGTAAATTCTTGAGATAGAAAATATTTTGGGATTGAATACCAAACATAAGGATTGTAGACATTTCTGAATTAAATTTTAATGTAATTATTGATCTTAGATTTTGAATCAAACGATCAGAAATTTATGCAATAAGATCGATTAACGATCGAAGTCAGAAAGCATCAAATGAGACAAAGGACACGACATTAGCAAAACTTCTGTAAGTATCAATAGTTTTTCTTGTCTATAATGCGAATAAATTTATTTCTTTATGTTGCTCAATCCGAGCATATTGTAGACTAAATGTATGCTAGAATGTGAAAGATGACTCCTGAATGCTAGATACAACGTTATGCATGTATCTACATGACTTAAGTAGTAGTAGAATTTTATTCTGTGAAAAATATGTATTGACGTCAAGTCGAGGTCAAGTTAAGAGAAAAAGTTAAACTTTAACGCAAAGTCAATCTCATGATAAATTACTCAAAAATGCACAAAGTCATAAGATTTAACTAAAGTTACCATTTCAATGAGAAAATTTGATAAAAGGTAAGAGATCAAACATCCTGTTGTACCAGCCTTCGAAGGAAAGGTTATTATGAGACTATGAAAGAAATGAAATTGTGACTGAGTTGGATTAGTTAACTACCTCACTCCTCACTGGTTATGTGCTCTATTGTACAACAGGATAGGCCCCATAAGAAGTAAAAGACAAGAAAATGAAAAACAGAAACCGTTCCATATAAGGGTAGGTATTTGTAAAGAAAAATGAAAAGAATGAGAAACCCAATATAAAAGTCGTTCAGAACGTGAAAATACAATGTGAACGACTAAAGAGAGACGAAAGCTGAGCAAAGTATGTAATGAAAGAAGAAGAACATAAGCAATACATGTTCTAGTAGTACATAATGTCTTAGGATATATGACATGAATGCATATATGAGTATGCATAATTATTGCATCTATTATGACCTACTGTTACTTATTGAGCGAAATCTCATTAAGTTTGTTCGTGTTGTAGGAAGCTTGGGTAAGACACCGGCTCCCTGAAACTTATTGCTGGGCATGCAGAGAGGATGTAGCAGCGGAGTATGGACAAGTGGGTAGGGGATGTATCACGTGTTTTAGAAACGCTGCTGAGCTTTATGTGTATAGAGTAAATAATGTTTTATGAATATAGATGAGTTATATAACAAAAGTTGAGTTTACAAGACAATGAGACTATGCATAGCAACCTCTAGTCACAATGTATGATTAATGTAACTGTATGCTATAGGATTAATGGAATACATAGCCAAATGCTACAGCATTAAGGCGTATGAATGGTTGAAAAAATTTAGCCTGAATTTTTAAGAGGTTATAATTAGAAAATAGTAGAGGACGAGTAATACTAAGTATAAACTTAGGATGATGATCAAAAGTTAGGGTCGTCACACCGGTCGCCGACAACGGCCACCGGTCACCAGTCTTTGCTGATAAATATGGTATTAGAATTTTAAATATGGTAAATATTGTATTTTCCTTGTAAATACTTTAGTTGTTACAATATGAAATATGGTAAATATTGTATTTATCAGTAAATACTTTATAGTTACAAGATTGAATATGGTAAATAGTATATATACCTGAAAGTACTATAGTAGTTACAAGTTTAAATTTCGTATATATATTATATTTACTTGTAAATACTTTAGAGCCCGTTTAGTAAAGGGATTTGAATCATGATTCGTGGTTTGCTACAGTATTTTCTCTCATAAAAAATACACGTAAATCGAAAATTATTATAATCATATGGTTCTAATCCATGAACCAAACGGGCTCTTAGTAATTGCATATTTGAATATAGTAAATACTGTATTTACATGTAAATACTTTAGTAGTTACAATATAGAATATGATATTTACTGATAAATACCAAATTTTCTAATAAATACGGTATGTACTGATAAATACCGTGATCATCGGAGCCAACAACCGGATTTTTAGATAAATGTGGTGTTTACCTGTAAATAAGTATATATTGGTAAATACGATATTTACAAGTAAATACATTATTTATCGGTAAATAGTCCCTGGTCACCAGAGCCGGCCGCTGATCGCCAGTGGCGATCATAATCTGCATATTTTCTAAAAAAATATGTTATAATCTACCAATTTTAAAAAATATATATTATAATTTACTATTTAAAAAAAATAGAGGTTTAAAGAAAAAAAAAAGAGGTGGAAAAAAGATTTAAGAGTATTTTTAATTTTTTTAATAATGTTAGAAACCTTAAACATCAAATTATATTATAATCTACATTTAAAAAAAATGCTTTAATTTATTAACACCCTACCAATTTTAAGTTTTTTTTACATATCAGGTCTAATAATCATAGACCCCGTTCATTTCATCAATTTGAGTTTTGTTATCGTAAAGAGCTCTAAGAAACAATCAAATCTAACTTTTTTACTACAATAAAAAGATCTCACATAAAATCACATCTCAACTCGAATTAAAAACTAAAATTAGCAAACTAAACGGACTTATAATGTGCCTTTGAATTTGTTCAAGTAATCAAATAACTGATAAAGTTTGAACCCATCAGGTATTCTATTAAATTGTTCAAAGAATCATCTCTACTATTTATTTCCATACGTATAAGTTGCAAATTTATTAGAAACTTTTCCTATTAACACTTTCAGGATCCATTGTATAACTTCCCGCTACACCTGCAACAAAGAAAAAAAAATGACAAAATCATTTACAATTCTTTTCAATTCCCAAACACAAAGATCTATATAGGCCTATCAATTTCTAATTGGAGCAGAATCTGAGAGCCCAAAACCACCGTCACCGACTCCGCCGACTCTGTGCCGGCACCATATCTGATTCGGACGAGGAAATCGGAGCCGAAGAACATGCTGGCATCGACTGATCCTAACAATCTCCAGTCTGACTAAGCCTCGCAAGTATGCGATCTCCATCGTACGACGAGTCCTTGAAATGACGCCACACGGCGTCGTGCTGCGAGATCTCAGACTCGACATCTGACGGCGAGTCTGCTGCCTCGCTCGTGGACGGCGACGCCAACGGCGACTCCCCATCCGCTTGGTTCGGTCGGGATCTTGTTCTGGACGACACACAGACGGCGACGATTTAGCCAAAAATCACCAAGATCAGATCTGCTATTTCACCTTAGATACGACAACGACCGGTCGTTACGATCTCTGACCCCCTTCCTTGCGATCTCCCATGAGTTTCGTCGTCGCCTGTCGCTCGCCATTGCAGAGATTGAGATCTACTCCATCGCGATTGAGGCTAGAGAGAGAGTTGCCGACCAGCTCGGCTCAATGCCAGAATCGCGAAGAGTCACCGTCGTCGGAGAGCTTCAACTTCTGGCCGGGAAGAGAATACGTGATTTGAGAGAGAGAAGGTTACTGAAATAGAGAGGGAGGACATAATAAAATATTTTATTTTAAACAGAAAAGGATGAATTGCAATTTACTATTATGGTTTAAAAAATATGCGATATGTTTCCTTGCCATATGTGAAAAATTGTTATTTGGTGCATTTTGCCAATTATTATTGGGATTTATTTGGATTTATCTTTTAATTTAGACTTATTGTTTTACTTTTTTTTTTGTGTTTATCATTATCATTTACCTTTAAACTAGTTCTAGTTCTGTTATGATTATTAGTTTTAGTTTTATTAAGATTCAAACACAAACTTTTAAACTAGTTCGTGTTCTGTTATGATTATTAGTTTTAATTCTATTAGGATTCAAACAACAAAAGAGTTACAAATTATGATCTCCATGGCTAAATTTTTTACAGCAGTATTCAATCTGTTGGTCCTTTAATTATTTAACTCTCATGAATTCTTCCATCCACATGTTCCCCTTCCAATAATTCCTTAGCTTTGTCAGCCTAAGGTATATGAAAATAAGAAAAATCGAGAACAAACCGTGTAAAAGGCTAACAAAGATGAGGAATTATTAGAAAGAGATGAATATGTAAATTTGTACTCAAAAGTTTTGGTCGTTTAACTCAGTAGTAAACTTTTTTTGACGTCGTTTTTAGGGTATTGATGTTATTTTCGTAGGGTGAACTGGAATTGGAATCTCTGAGCGTGGAAAGGGGGCGCTGCAATGTGAGTTTGACAAGATTGACAATTTAAAGGTAAGTAAACGTGATTTTTTCTATTTTGTACCTATTTTATTAAATCAAACGTGATTAAAATCATTGTTAATATAGTATCAACTTAATAATACTTTATTTTTTTAATTTATGCTTCTGCATTCAGATATCAATTTAAATTTTGGGTTTGGAAGCAAAGATATGTTGAATCTATGAATTGTGAATGAATGATTGTAGAACTATTTTTGTAGAAATTCTTCGGTGGATATCTTAAAGAATTTACTTTTCTTTTCATGATTTTTATTCTTCTCTTTGTACAATATTTTCGGTTTAAAGCTTCTTTTTCCGTTTGTATTGTCATTATTGTCTTTTCTGAAGAATGTTGTAGTTTGTAAATTAGGGTGTCGTTTTGATGGGATGGTGTCATTATCGTTTCTAGGATGAAGCTGTAGAACATAACTTTTCTAAGAGATTTAAAGCTTGTTCTTTTGGAATTTAATTTGAGTATAATTCTTGAGTTGAATTTGAGTTATAACTTGAGTTGAACTTGTAACTTGAGTTTGTGTTTAGTTGTGTTCATTTGAGTTATGGTTTGAGATAAAAATCTTTTTGACTTTGTGTTTGAGTGAATCAAAACTTGAATTTGTATTTAGATAGTATTTTAATAAAAACTCAATACTGATGAAAAATTTTAATAGGGTATATGGGTCAGATTTTATTCGTCTTTTCGTTGTCAACGCATAAAAAAAAATCATCTCAATCAGAATTAAAACGAAAAAGTTATAGCATTTTTAAGAATAGAAAAAATATTATTTATTAATTTGAGTTTGAGTTTCTAAATTCAAGTTGAAGGGAAAATTTAAATTTAAGTTTTAATCCTAAACTCGAATTTAAACTCGAATTTAAACTAAAATTTAAATTTCAAAAAATATAAACTCAAATAAAATACTTTTTTTGAGTTTTTCGCTTAAAAAAAAAAAAAAAAAAAAAAGCCCTTTAACTATTTGGATCCGTTTAATCAAGTAATACTATGACTAAAGATCCTCACAAACTCACGCCTCACGCTCTCCTTTTCCCTCATTTTTGGTTCTTTGCTTTCCTTCTTCGCTTCCTCTCGTGGACGGTTCTTTCTCTTTCAGGTTTTAACTTCTCCTTTATGCTTTCTTGTTTTGGGATTTTGTTTGTTTTGGGTTTTGTTTGCTGCTCCAATTTAGTTCCGGATATTTCAGCCCCTTTGTTGTTGAATTCGTTCAAGGTTGAAATTCTTGCTTTGATTTTTTTTTTCTCTCTCTTTGAATTTCTTTGTGGACAATGTTTGGATTCCTTTGAACCCTATAATCAGAGCCCAGATAAGTTATGGGTTTTCTTTCATTGTCTCCTCTGTTTTTTTTTGCCTCCTCTTTTTCCTTTCCTATTTCCGTTGGGTCGTTGCCTGCTATGGTTTTTTGAGTTGCTCTCCTTTTTTTTTCTTTCTCTTCGTGTGTCAAAGCATTTCTTCTTCTAAGTTCTCTGAAGTGCAAAGACAAGAAATGTGAGATTTGAAACTGTTGCTAATTTTTTCAAGTTCAGCTTGAGATATCACACTTGTTGGAGATGTAGCTAAGGCTATCTTTTTTGTTTCTAAGGTTGTTGGTAGTTGGTACATTCATCACTGCTCCTCTGAGAGGAGAAATCAAATGTTCCACATGGAGTGGAGGCTAGTGTGTACAAATGTTTTCGTATCTTGTGCTCTCAATCACAATTAAGAGCTGTGAAATGGTCCATCAGCATGTAGACCGCTACTTTCTATTTTGATAATATAATATGATATATATGAGTTATTAGTTTTATTCACTCTTCTTTATCGTATGAAAAACAACTGATTTTGACCAAGTTATGTACTGATTGTTATATAAGCTAAATAAACATAAGAATGAAAACTTTACTGATTGCTAACAAATAACTCTTTTATTTTCTGTTATTTTATTCAAGGGAGAGATTGAATTACAGGTTCTTTTCTTTTGAGATAAAAAACTTTACTGGTCAGGGAATGAAATAAGTTGCTTTTACATAAATAGTTTTTTATTTTTTATTTTTATTTTTTATTTTTATTTTTTATTTTTTAAGCTGAGTATTCATGCCCATGTCTTTTTAATCCCTTCGAATCAAAGCCAAACTGAGAAACTTCATTGTTTTGTGATGAATAATTGATGTATGGCTGTGAGTAGTTTGGTGAAGTGGGCTTCACATGAAATAGGCAATTTCCTATCCTTGCCTACATTGACCTTTTTAGTTGTTTGCTTTCTTTTTCTTCTTTATTTTTTGCCCTTTTTTGGAAGAAATTTGTTGCCTTCGATACCTCTATACCTCTCCTCTCTTTTGGCAACAAAATGACCATTTTATTTTGGGTTTTCTCAATTTTGATTGCCTTTCATGTTAATGCAATGTATATGAAAGATTTACAAGGTAGTTGTTAGAGCTAAGGATTTTGTTGGAAACTATTGTGTGGATTGTGCTTCAACTTTGTCGTGATATGTTTCTAATGCCGGAGTGAGAAATAGAAAAGAAGAGAGAAATATAGAGCTCATACTAACATAATTTGACGTTTGGTGTCTGTATATCAATCATCAAAAAGTGAAGATGCAATCACTGTGTCTATTTGCAGTTAACTATTTGTTTCATTCAATAATTTATTGATCGATATATCATAGTGACACATACATGGTGGGGGATGTGATTGCTCAATTGTTAATTGCTGTGGCATACTCTGTTAATTGTTCGTGGATACAACTTATAGATTTGTTGCCGTTGTTGGATTTACTCCAATAATCAAGTAGTTTTGTTCTTTGTTGGAGGTCATTTTAAAAAGAAATTTGCCCCAATAAAGGTTTTCCCCATGAGTCGAGTTTTGTTCTTCTGAGGTCTTCTTGCGGGGTTTTTATGGTTTAATTTGGTTTTTGGAATGAAGAAAACAGAACAAGAATTAAATAACTAGGAAATCATGGCAGGGGGGTTTTTTCCTCCTGTGTCATGTTTTAGGGGAAAAAAAATTTATTAGAGTGTGTATGTGGTGTCTCATTAGTCCGTTTGGACATAATTAGACATGAGATGGTTTCAATTTTAGTTTTATAAGTTATTATAATTGCTGTGTTTAGAATTGTTCTTGTTTTTGTTTTTCGTTTTTATTTTTCACGTTTTTTGAGAACAAAAAATTGATAACTATTCCAAAACGGCGTTTGGTACAATTAAAGACAAAAAACGTAAATGAAAATGATTTTTTGGTTTAGTGTAAAATGTGAGAAATGAAAAATGACTTTTAGTCGTTTTTTATTTTTTGTTTTCGTTTTCTCCTTTCTCGAACAGAGAGAAAGACACATTAATGAGTTTTTTTGTACTGAAAACAATCTCCTGATAAAACTACCAAACGCATTTTCAAAAATGATTTTTGTCTTAGGTTGAAAACGTTTTCATTTCTATATTCATACAAAAAATAAAATCATTTTGGAACGAGTTTCAAATGCACCTAATATTTCTTTACAAAAAAAAAAGATTATAACTCCAAGGGGGCGTTTGGTTGCGGTGGCAGAATAGTAATGAGAATGGTAATGGAATAGAATTAGAATGTGGTGGAATCATAAACTGATTCTTTAGTTTGGTTGGTGTTATGGAATCTATACCTGAATGAGAATTATACTGTTTGGTTGACAACGGAATGGAATGAAAGTAAACTGTATGTTGACAAAAATACCCTTGATAAATAATCATAAATAATTCAATATTTAATTAATTAAAATAGTAAAAAATAATTTAATTATTGAACAAACTATTTATTTGAAGGATAAAATTTAAAAACTATATTTCAATGGTGAAAAAAAAAAGATTTGATTTTTTTTATGTAATAATAAAGTATCACATGCTCAAATATAATGACCTTTGGCATTTACCATGATATGTATCGAGTAAAATGATCACTTTGGCCCCTGTCAATAATAAAAATGAACCAATTTATTATTCAACTACATAATATATAATCCCAAAATATAGTCATACACTAAAACTAGTAGATTCACCTATATATAGTATCTATCATCTGTCAAGTCAAGCAAGTTTCTAGTTAATACAATTTAACAAAGTGAAACACAATCCTAATCAGTTACAATATCAAAAGAGAAACGCATAACACATACATTACAATATCTTTTATGTAACTATGAAACTAAACAACCACTCTTAAATGTAGCTTCATAACTCCTACCGGTTGTACGATCATACATAGATCCGCCAAAGATGATGATCCTTCCACGAGGCGTGCTGACAGCAACGTGATCAAGTCTAGGAGGAGGAACAATAGCACTCTGGCTCCTAACACTAGTGAACGCACTACATTCAAGTTGCCTCCAGTGGGGTTCTTCATCTTCTAAATCAATGGTGTAAGCCTCTCCTAATCGCAGCAGCAGGTGGCCACTTTTTGCAAGCCCGCCAAACATGAGAATCTTTGTGCGGCCATAAAATGAAAGTGAATGCCCCAACCTAGAGGGAGGAGCCCATGACGTTGGAATTTCTCTCCATGTTGGCTTGTCTGTCGTGAGATCCAACAAGTATGTATCATTGAGAAGTACTCCGGCGTCTGTGCATCCACCTGAAACAACCAATTTTGCACCTCGATTGCGCAAGAACTGTGCTAGGATCTAGTTAATACCACACAAGCTTTCATAGCAATATATATATATATATATATATATATATATTGGCAGGCATGGCCGTGTATATAAAATAAATTACTTGCGCGGGCGAGAACCTCTTCGTTTTGGTCAGAGCCTCACCTTGCCGGACAGAGCCTGATCGTCTCCTCCAATCAAACGCTTGCAAAAAACGTACTTGCGCCCGTGAGAACCTCTTCGTTTCGGTCGGAGCCTCACCTTGCCTGACAGAGCCTGACTGTCTCCTCCAATCGAACGCCTGCAAAAAAAGCACTTGCGCCCGCGAGAACCTCTTCGTTTCAGTCGGAGATTGAGGCGCCGGTGAAACTAGATCCAAGTCCAGCAGTCGCCGCGAACCTCCTCCTTTTGGTCGGAAATCCAAATCAGAGGAGGAGACTGAAAGGAAATGGATGGAGCTCGAAAAAAATGAAGCGAGGAGAGGAGCTTCCTCTCTCTCAATCGGGGACAATTTGGACAAAAAATGAATCCGGCTTGAATGGAAAGGCCTTTCATTAACCCCCGTGTGAATCGCAATTTATTCAAATTGAGTGAATTGGCTTTCCTACGGAAAGCCCTTTCTGATAAAAAAAATGGAACGAAACAATGGAATTTAATTGAATAGTGTTTCTTTTCCATTCCATTACTTCCAACTAAACACACTATAAATGTTTTTAAGTTTTTCTATTTTAAGTTAAAAACCACAAAATAGCTAACAATAATTAAAAACTTGGCCTCCAAGGAGAGTCTTGTGTCTAGAGCTTTACTTAGAACTCGATATTGATTTTAGAATATCCATAGCTGATGTAGATATTATAGAGAGAATATCGTGCTCAAACTTGCAAGAGAGCAAAAGCATGTGCAAAACCACATAGGAAGGCACCGACCAGCTTAGCTTCAACTTTACCAACGTGGTCGACAAATTGACAGAATTTTTTTTTTAGAAAAAGCTAAAGAAAAAAAGGATTATTAGGATTTATCTCTAAAATAGTTTATATATTTATTGTTTTGATTTTATTTTTGGTTTATTATTATCATTTACCTAATGAGTTAGTTCTAATTCTATTATAACAATTAGTTTTAGATCTATTAGGATTCAACCAACAAAAGACCTATAAATTTCCTTTCCCTGTATTTGTTTCGTTTGGTTGGTCCTCTAACAAAGCTGACAAAGCTCAAGAATTGTTGGGAGAACGTAAAGATGTTGATAGAAGAGATCGTCTAACAGTTAAACACGTACAAAATCACAATTCCAATTCATACCACAAAGATACTGTATGACTTGCAATTGTGATTTGGCACATGTTCAACTAATCTAACGATCTCTTCAATCAATATCTTCATGTTCTTCCATCAACCCTTCGGATAAGAGCTAAACAAGTAGCAATCTATACAATCAAATGCAAATTCTCAAGAACAGCTTTTAAACTTCAACTTTTTCAAATAAATTACATGTCAAGCTTCTTGTATCTAACATATGATAGCCAAATAGTGTATTTTATGTACATTTTTTGTTAAATCAAACGTGATTAAAATCATTGTTAATATAGTGTGAAGTTAATAATACATTTTTTTATAAAATTTATGCTTCTACATTCAGATTTCAATTTAAATATATATATATATATATATATATACATATAAATAAATCGTGGTTTTGGTGGGTTTGAAAGTAAAGATAATGTTAAATCTGTGAACTGTGAATGAATGATTGTAGAACTACTTTTGTGGAAATTCTTCTATGGATATTTTAAAGAATTTACTTTTCCTTTCATGATTTTTATTTTTCTCTTTGTGCAAAATGTTCGGTTTAAAGCTTCTTCTTCCGTTTATATTGTCATTGTTGTCTTTTTAGAGGAATGTTGTAGTTTGTAAATTAGGGTGTCGTTTTCATAAGATGGTGTTATTGTCGTTTCTATGATGAAGCTGTAGAACTTAACTTTTCTATCTAAGAGATTGATTTTACTATTTGGATACGTTTAATCAAGTAACAATAAGATCAACTTTGGAACCTCAATAACTTATAACCAAGCCTCTTATATTTCCAATATTGAAGGTTGGTTATCAAATACTCCTCAATTACCTCTTTATATTGTTATATGTTGTACTACTAATCTGATGCACGTGCGAATAATTATGAAGGTAGCGTATGG